CACCATCAGAAGAATATGATGAAGACAACATGGGGGGTTCTGGACCCTCCAGTGGGCAACACCAGGCTCAATGTGGTCAGACTGGTCGCCAGTCTGTTGCAGAGCAACACACACAGCATCAATACAGAACTAATTAACCTCAACACACTTGGAGTTATACTAGTAAGTACTATCTTGTTTTTAGGGTGTGTGGTGTGGGGGCGGAGACTACAATCAATGCAATGAATTTTGATCTTAGACAAGTTCAAAAGTTTTCTGAAAATTTTTTGGGGCATAAATTTTCCACAGAAGTCCAGTTCAGAGTTTTTGGTCTAAATCTGAAAATCCTAACTTGCGCAATTAACATAAACTTTTATCCCTACACTGCAAACTTCCACACCATTCAAGTCAACGTCCAATCCCAGTAAATTGTTGCATCCCGATGTTATGCAGCCATCTGCCACCAGATGGAGCATTGTTGGTGAGAAACGCCACAAATCCATTAATCTTGGACTTTTATAAACACTATTATTGTTACTTCTTTTAATGGGGAAAAAAAAAAATTAGGTTGGGTATACAAATTGCCTTTCTCCAAGGGGTGGATATGCTTTCCCTTAGCAATAGGGTGAGGAGTTTAGTCATTCGAGAGGGTCTCCTCCACATTCGGCGGGTGGGGGGATGGAATTTCCTGTGGCAGGCACCTCCTGCTTAAGGTGTTCAGACCAGGCATGTCCTACTGGGAGGAACCCTGGAGTAGTGCCGGGAGCTGCTGGAGAGAATATATCGTATTGGCTGGCCTGGGAACACCTTGACGTTTCCCCAGATAAGGTGGCTGATAAGAGAGCTGTCTGGACTTCCCCGCTGCCCAAACCCAGATAAGCAGAAGAAAATGGATGATTTAACTTTTTGTTGTTTTGGATTTTATTTTTTAAAATGTTGGCCTGAATTTTCAAACGGCCTGCATCATTCATAATGCACGACACACAACACATCGCTTTTCAGTCTTCTGTGTTTTTGTTTTGTTTTTTGTTTTAATAATAAAAAAAATACTTATACCATTCATAACTGGATGGCCAGATTTAAGCTATCACTTGTCATGTATAGTGGCAATGCACAGGGAGCCTATATGTCCACCATGATCCTGATATAAGATCTCAGCCTGTGAGGAGACATGACAGATTTTTTTCCTTCATAGCTTGTGTCAGCTATGTCAGCAAAAAAAACTTAACTTTTGGTTGTGGTTCCCCCTTGTTTTAAACTGTCAGTCAGTTTACTAATGTGTCTCACTTTGTACTTGTTTTTGTTTTACTCAACAGGATATGTATTTCAAATACATCTGGAACAACTTCCTCCACATTCAGGTGGAAATCTGCACAGCCATGATACTGGCTATGCCTCCTGCCCCCATAGACATCCAACCAGACACAGAGGCAGAACACGTGAAGGAAAGCATCCTCATCAAACATGTAAGATTGAACCTGTTTATACAGGCCTATACGAGCAACAGACTTGGAAGTTAACTATACGTCACGTGAGCTGTCTGTCAGATATTTCTTTGGTGTATTTAGTATCTTGTATTTTTCTCCACCAGCTGTTTCAAAAGTGCCAATTTATACAGAGAATCATTGATGCCTGGAGCTCCAATGAGAAAGAACAGTAAGTATTCTTGTTTGCACTAAAAGCACAATGCTTGTGTTTTATTGGTCATGGTGCTAGCACCCTATGAAATATGCTAATACTACTATTGAACCTTGTTTTAGGGCAGAAGGTGGGCGGCGACGAGGCTACATGGGTCACCTGACCAGAATAGCCAACTCTATAGTTCATAACTGCGACAAAGGCCCTAATGGGCCGCAAATACAACAGCTCATCTCTGGTGAGGAATTACATTTCTTTGAGTGCTCATCTAGCACCATCATGTGTTGTTACTTTCCTGTAAAGTGTAGGTTTATCATCGATAGGTTGTCGAATACACTCGTATTTTAGGAAGGACAAAAAGCACTTACATGTGAGGGGAAAGAGAAGAGCTGGCTTTAAAACACAAACTGTGGAATAGAATTTGCAGCATGAATGTTTTGTTTATTATCTGGGTTTTATAATTATTGGACACTAAAATCATAACTGAAAATAAAGTGAGAGATGTGCTTACCCATAATTTGAGAATAACATTTTTTTTTTACTACTTCGCTGTAAAGGGACTTACGGGGTAGCACTGTCTTCTGCCAGTAGTTTTGATAGCTGTGCTCTTTATGTTGATGTAGTGTGTGTGTGTGTGTGTGTGTGTCTATATAAATTTCATGTCTGTGACAGAGCTCCCTGCAGAGGATCGAGAAAAATGGGAATCTTTTATTTCTGGACAGCTGGCTGACACAAACAAAAGAAACACTGTTGACTTGGTGAGTAACAACACGAACATGAAAACTAGTAACGCTTTCAGGTTTGCTTTCATGCTGAACCATTTAACAGCTAAAGTGTTTCGGCATAGCATTAAAAATTTTTTAATGTAAATTTTAATTGAATATAAACTGCTAGGACACACAAGGAAAAGATGAGCCAATGATTCAGTTTAAAATATACTGTCCAGCAAGACATTAAACGTCAGTAAAACTATTATGAAGTTGAACTTTAATATCAGCCAGACTGATTTCCCTGGGAACAAATGAAATGAACCAAGCATCACCTGTATATAGCACTTAAGTAAATTCTATCCAATGTTTATCCTCCAGTCAAAGGCGAGGTCAGATGTTGGGGTCTGTTGACAACCTGCTGTGGCAGTTTCAGTATTTCATGATGCACTGTAGCACAGGAACCATGAGATGATAAAATGGTGAAATAATTATGTTTTTAATAAAAGTGTACTTCTAATTTTAATGTAAGCAGAAATTATAGTTTAACGATTGTTATTTAATTTTGGCACTCTTGGCACTCCATAAGCAGGAGATCCTTTTGTATTAAATGTCATGTTTTCTCAGGTAAATACACACCACATCCATTCTTCCAGTGATGATGAGGTGGACTTTAAAGAGAGTGGTTTTCACCAAGACTCGTCTCTTCAACAAGTAAGATTTAAACGCAGATGCAAATGAATGAAGGCACACAAAGCAGACCCATGGGCACATAAACCCAGCTCATGTAGAGGTAACCTTTCTGCCTAGGGGGCCAAATCAAAATATTCTATATATTAAAAGTTATTGTCAAAAGTGTTTTTGATGTTTGGGGGGGGGAAACCCTCAGAAATTTAAGTGTGCAGTACATACATGTCAACTTATTTTTAAATTTTCTTCAAATCTTCATGCTTCACAAGAGAAATTGAAGTCCTCCAAAGTGCATCAGGTTACTTTATTTGTTTTGGGGGTTTTTTTTTTCTTCTTCCCCCTTGACTTGGCCAGCTGTTGATTTCAGTGGGTACTCTGTGTCCATGGGTCCTGCACAATAACTCTGTCATCAGTGTAGCAGTAGAAAATTCAAAAATTAATGTACTTTAAACATCTATCTAATGTATGTTATGTGTGTGTGAATATAGTATGTGTATACATGTACTTTGTACTGCAAGTAATGACATTTTTTGGTGTAGAGCCAAGAGTATATCATTATCGTTGGTCCTGGGTTTTGCCAGGCCTTTTCTGATTATCAGATGCAACAAATGACGTCCAATTTTATTGAGCAGTTTGGCTTCAATGACGAAGAGTTTGCTGATCAGGACGATGTGGTGGAGTGAGTACTTTTCCTACATTTGCTATTTAAGTATTACCATGTAACACAAAAGGTACAGCATACTACACTACAAGCTGGTGGGTCATTTTTTTCACTGTTAATTCATTCAGTTATAGAATATTTGCATATGACTTTTAAAATAAAGTTCTTCAATTTAATTTCTTAATTTTGAGTCATTCATTGGCTAGTGAAGGATTTCCATTCTAGGCCTAAACTCAATTTAAAAAGCATAAAGGTTTTTTTTCCTGAGTAATTTAGATTGTAGTTTTTATATAGAAAGAAATGTCATCACCAGCGACACCATTTTATTCTTTATCATTAGCCTGGTACAATGATCACGTCAAAGGCAAAAATTGGCTCAAAGAAGAAATGATATCCACCTTTTTCTGCTGTCGTGGGCTGCCTCTTTTCTGTCTTTCTTAGGGTGAGCTGGAATGGGCACGCTTATGGTTTTGCCTTTTATGTCGCTTGTTTTTCAAAATGCCTGGGAGTGGATCAGTGAAGTACAGATTTATTACATAATCTTAGGCTTCTGGTGACCTAAAGTTATTCTTGTAACTAAAAGTTACAAGAATAAGTTTTCTTTTTACTTTCTTTTCTTCCGCTTTAATTAAAAAAAAAAAAAAAATGGCATCAGTAAAGCGCTTAGGAAGAAAAGATCTGCTCTGAGTAGGTAGCTATATGAACACCTGTCGAAAAGCATGCTTGTTAGAAACATAAGACTCATGCATAAATACAATGGACCCATAGCATTGACAAACCTACCTCAGTGATTGAATGTTTCCCAGAAAGGCTGAAAATGCACATTGACCACAGATATGACCGCTACAAATTCTGTTAAGCATAATATTATTTAATGTTAGTGATTTATATGTAATGAAAATTTGGCAAGATCTCTTTTAGAAAATAAAGCTGTTATTCACTGAGGTCTTTAACTGATGTACCTGATAATGCTTCTGCTCTAGCTAATCTAAAGTGTCTAAAGTGGTGTGCCTCCTGTGCCATCATGATGCCTGGAACATACCTGATGTAGCCTAAAAAAAGAGAGGACTTGACTTTCCTGTAGAGATGTACACAGCATAAAACCTCTGCTTCTTTGCTGTAAAAGAACAGTGCATTGTATACAGGGCAGATGTTGGCAAGTTATTATAAGTGGTCACACAGGTGAAAAACATCGATAATTTCTTCATTATTAGTTGTTTCAATAGTGTATATCCAACTGCAATATGCATGATGAGTTTTATATTTATTGTATTTTCATCTTTGTTAGAATTAGGCTAACAATAAAATAAAAAAAAAACATGCTTGGGCAAAAAATGATTGCTTAGTGGATGGTAAATTTTCAGCAAAATCTTATGTGACTACATCAGAATATTAAAGTAGAGACTAACAATGTTGGGTTCCTTGTCTGCATTGTTTCCTCTACCTGGAAATGTAGCTTTTCTTAGCTTGGTCAGTTTAAAACATGGAACGAGGACATAAAGAATAAGGTGGTGATTAAAAGGTGTTTATTTTGTACTGGCTGCCTGAAATATTAAACAAACTTTTGCTATGTCCTAGAATTTGTCTGTGTGGGGTCATTTGGAGACGGGTTAAAGGAAAAACAAGTGTCTTGATAAGGTGTTGTGCCAGCAGTGTGACTTGGCATTGTTTGTCCAAGTGTCCAAGTCTATAAAATTCTACACAGTGGTTAAGCAGCACAAATGATATCCCTCGTTTTGATGACGCCAAAAGTTCAGCTGGCTTTTGAATCTGGCAACTAAAGGTCATGGTGTTTGAGTCACATCAGTCATACTTATTAAAGCCATTCTTTCCCTATGGATGGGAGCATTAACATCTCGGCAACAACTTGCATCATTGGGAGTGCTTCATCATTGGTTAAAAAAAGATCACTCTACAACTAAAATGTCTCCCACAACATAACGGCCAAAAGATTCCCCCATTGTAGGAGGGAATCTGGGGTTTTTCCTTTAATTTGTTGCTTGTCTGTATGTGGATGCCTAACAAATCTAACTCAATAAAACTCTGTTCTCTTTAACCTTGCAGTATTCCCTTTGATAGAATATCAGACATCAATTTTTCACTGAATACAAATGAAAGTGTAAGTACTTTGATTATTAATCTAAAATTCATAATGTTGAGAGTAAAACTCCTGGAATTAGTTAAAATATTTTTAAAGGCATGTTGTGCATATCCTGATGTTGATATTAATTTGGAAGCAGATGACAAGAAAGTGAGAAAATAAAACTGCTGTAGAATACAAACCTTGAAGTAATTTTTTTCATACTTCAAACAAGCCTCTAGGTATGCTTCAGGAAAAGAAATGACAGCATAATGCTGTGAAAGATGCCTGAGGCCTGCTTTCTAAGTGAATGCTTCACAGCCTAGGGTTTTGTTCTGGAAGACTTTACTTTGTATGTGCATGTGCTTTAAGCACAACCGATGACGCTCTAATTTTGACATGTGTGTAAATTTTCTCCAGGCAAATATTGCTTTGTTTGAGGCACGCTGTAAGGAGAAAATCCAGCAGTTTGAAGATGCTGGTTCAGATGAAGACGATATCTGGGATGAAAAAGATGTCACCTTTGCACCAGAGGCACAGAGACGCCCCAGGTCAGTCAGACACACATGCACCAAGAAACTGAACATTTTTTTTTTTTGCAATCTCATACTGAATTAACCTTTGGTTATTATCTTAATGGCGTCATTATACTATCTTTCCACTTGTTTTTAAATTATTTATTACTTAATGTTTTCATTAAGGGGACGGGGTTGCCTTTATTTGATAGCATTAAACAGGACTATCAAGTCAAACATGGGCATAGTTGTAGTGCTGTGAGAGCAAGCTGGTACTGATGTGAACCATGTGCCACCAGATTTTGAACAGCTAAAACATTCAAGTGGTAGGAATGATATAGCAGGTTTTCTCATGTATATATGGACACTGTATTTGATCTTATAGTGATCTTATAGTGATTCATTTTTATTAACATTAACGTCAGAAGCTATTTGTAAAACTCTTTTTAGTCTTGTTTAAGTATAATTTGTTGTGTTTAGAGTTTTTTGCTTTTTGTGTGACTGCTTTAGAAAAGTGGTAGTTGTATCACCATTGCTGTAGTCATCAAAAAATGTTTGTAGTATCAGCTTGTGTTACTTCAGTATTTTTAATACAATGGTAATAATAACCGTTATAATATTTATAATCAACATATGAATAATGTCATCGGTACTTAGACAAGAAACATCTATAGGTTTGTCAGTGTTAGTTGTAAATCACACACAAATTAATTCACAATGGAAAGATGGGGGAAATGAGAAAGGTAAAGGTCGTATGGCTCTGAATACATATTTTAGTGGTCAACAAGGCCAGCATTACATACTTATTATGCAAAAATACAAAAAAAGGATGTATTTATGTGAACTGTAAGTTCCATGTAGGAGCATATATACAGATAAATTGTTTTACAAAATGCCACCAGAGCAGCCTGTTTATTTAAGCTGTATCAATAAAACCCTGATATCAATTCCTGCTGAATTGTATATTCTGTTATTTATTTATTTATTTATTTATTTATCTATTTATTTTTTAATCTCACTCACAGTATAAAGAGGACAGCTCAGATCTTTATTCTAATACTTGATCTGTCCATCACAGGAGTTCAGGCAGCACAGACAGCGAGGAGAGCACAGACTCAGAGGAGGAGGACGTGAAGAGGGATCAGTTTGAAGCTTCCAACCCCAGCAACGATGACAGAATGGAAGTTGACACAGGTTAGTGGTTTTGAGACGACCACATGTAAGACTCAAGTACAGAGTGGTAGCCTAATGACAAATTGTCACAAGAGTTTGTATTTATTTTATTTTTTGCCTCAACTTGATTTTAGGATCAAGATTAAACTAGGATTAATTTAAAGTTATAGAGTGTAAAATCTCACTGCTGGTCAGTAGATTGCTGTCAGCTGAGTTTTAACGCCTCCCAGTTCGACTGAATAATCAAATCAACTCCTTTAGATCAACCCAGAAGAATCAGTAACGGTTGCTTTCATTTTCTCCACAATGGCTGCTTCCAACTGGTGTGTTTTTATGACCATTTGTCATTTTTTCACATACTAAAGCATATTTGAATAATATCAACAATAAATTAAGCAATAAATTATGATTTTTTTTTTTGTATTTATTTATTTTAAAAAACACTGAGCCAGTAAAAATATTTTGGCAGTTTTTTTTTTTTTTTTTTTTTTAAAACCCCTCACTATGTAGGCATTGCATTGTGTAAGCACAATAATTAATTGGAGTTATTTTCAGTTTATGCGTGAATTAAAACGTAATTATTTGGGGTTGTTTTCGTTGTTTTTGTTTGTTTGTTTAGGCCCAGTGTGGACGGCAAATTTTGATGATATCCCCATGGACACGGGTACATCCACAGCTTCAAACTCCAACCCCAGCAACCCAGCTCCATCCTCTCCCTCCACCTCCCCTGATACAGCATGGAGCTCCTCTCCTGCAGCTAACTCAAACTCAGAAACTGGCTGGGCTGATTTCTCCAACTTCACTCCTGTCAGGTAAGATGTCCTGACTTACTGTGGGTCTGTTTTTCTGTCTGCAGTGTTGCAGTTTCTGCAATAAATAATTTGTGTTTAAGATAGTGTTGAAACTTTAAAGTGCTTTATAAATTTATATTTATCTTTCAGCCCCAAAGACCCCCTGAGATGCAACTCTCCTGTTGCTATGGAAACCAGTATAGAAACAATTGACCCTTTAGGGGTTAACGCACCCATGCAGTCTGAAGGTGAGATATGCACAAATGCATGTCCTTGAGTATCTGACAAGGGAAGTATCCAGAATTTCCTGAACTTGATGATGTTTCTTATATTTCTTATATCTTTCTTATATTAGGGGTGAATGTAACCCATGTTGGGGTAGCTGTTGATGGTAAAACAGTCTAATTGACGTTGATTTGATTAGACCTGACACCTAATGTCACATTTCTTAACATCCCTCAGACTGTGATGGCTGGTTGGGCACGAGTGTGGCTTCTCCAGCTGCCTCTGCACCTAGTGATTGTGGGAGCTCTAAGGCAGAGGAGGAAGCATCTAGCTCTGAGCACCGCAGCATCACAGAAACGGTCATCAATGGCTCCATGAAAGAAACAGTCAGTCTCACTGTTGATGCCAAGACTGAGACCGCCGTTTTCAAGAGGTTCGAGAATCACTTGCACACAAAAGAATTACGCTTCAGACTTATGGTGATGAGAGTGATGCCAGTGCCAGTTGGAATTCTGTGATTATAGGCATGGGTTGGCTGGTTTTAACTGGTGTGTCTTATGGGAGGGGGGGCTGGCTCATTGTAGCTTCATGCCAGAAGAAAAACTCTTAAGCTACTGAGGTAGTCCTGCTTTGTGAATAACTCATCTTAACTAGGCTGTAGTCAGTGTAAATTCTTAAAAATTGTTATCACTTTAAGAATTTACTTATTTATGAATTAACTTATGTATTTATGAATACAATCCCAGTTTAGTTATCTGTGCCTCAATGAGAATCAGAGGCTGATCTGATAAATGATTCCTACTTGACCTGGTCCATTGCACTGCCATAAAGAAAGGGGCCTATAAACTGATTCAGTTTTTAACACTGACTGTTCTTTCTTCCACTGTCTAGACTGTAGTGACTGTAGCTAACATAAGTTCTTTACACTATTGGTGTTTTGAGACTTTAGATACAACCACTATAGATCCTGTGACATTTAATTTGTGTGCCCTGTCATGGGTTAGTGTAATGTGACATGATAATGTGGACAGCAGAAAATAGGATTTTGGGGGGGGGGGTTGATATTTGAACACTAGTTTGTTTGTGTTTTACTCCTTGATAGCCATTTGATGTTCAAAAATCCAAAGTAACTGAGGTCTTGCCTTATACAAACATGGGATACCAAGTTTTGAAAGCTGCTTTTCTGTCTTACAAGCTTGAAAAGTGCCTCATAAAAAGTCCCTTTCATGGTGAAATCCTTGTTTCCTGAACAGTCAGGTTTTAAAGTTGGTTGTCCTCTGTCCTTCCGTCCCTTTGTTGATGCTGCATCATATTGTCTGTCTGTCTGAGTTGATAACAGCAGTGTAATGAACTGAGCGACACTTACAATCTGAGCTTCCCCTCTCTCTCTTGCTGTGCGTTGTGGGTGTGGTCTTCTTCAGAGTGTTGAAATCTTATCGGTATGTACAGCCAATCAGAGATCAGCCTGCAGCCGTGATGTAGTCTTGTTGTCACGTCAACCACCAACTTTTCTTTCGGAATTTTGATCTTCTTTGGTTTCAACTCCTTGTTTGTTTATTTCATTATCTCCATTCTGCATGTGTTTTTACCAAAGGTGTGTTTTTCTTCTTTTTTTTCTTTCTTTCTTTTTTTTAAGTGCAGTTTTTTGTTTTTTTTTTCCTTTTTAATTTTGCCTTGATCTTATTCAGATTACTCTTATTCTAACACTGCAACACAATCTCATTCTTGGCTGAAATCTTCCAGATGAAATTGGCCCAAAGTAGAAACCAGTTCTCTGAAGTGGCCTCAGTTGGATTTTTATTGGTTACATACAGCTTTCTAAATATATTTCTCCATATGCTTGTTTCATTGGTGTGCTTTTCCCATAGCTGCCTTCTTTTTTTGGTTTTGGCAAATAGACAGTGTGTCCATCCTGCGATTGTGACTTATTAGAGGGAAAAACATTACTACTTTTGATCATTACTGATGAGCTAAAATACAAAAGCAAAATGTGGTGATTGTATTCTGACTGAAAAACTACTTTAATACGGAATAAAAACATGTACACGTCACAGCTCACTCTTCACCTAATAAAACAAAATTTGATATTGGCTGTAATACAACTAGGGCTGTTCGATATAACGATATATATCGGATGACAATATAAAAACGTCTATCGTTTCATTTTACGCTATCGTTTGTTTTGTGGTGTCGTAAAATAAACTGTTTACAGCAATATTTTTTTCATCGTTTTGATTGTCACTGTAGTGGCTATATTAATTTCTTAAAGTTCTCTCTTTCTCTTACATTTAATATAACCACACTACGGACGGACAAGCGCCTGTTTTTATGTGTTGTTGTTGTTAGCAACAACGACGGTAAACCCATCGAGTGGCTCCGCTGTCCGCTTTTTTGATCCTGTTGAGACTTTTCAAAATAAACTGAATCACGTGAAAGGGTATGCAGAGAGTTTACGGATGAGAAGCAAAAAAGAGCCGTCAGGTGCTAAAAAATAAACCTTCGACTCAAACTTCGAAAGAAAACGGCGGCCATTACAACTTTTGTCTAAAAATGTATAGTTTCATGCATGGGTTAAAACACTGGACTCCAGGTAAAGGACGCCCAGCTGGAAACACTTCACGCAAGTTGAGTTGCCCGAGATTCACTGAATTTACATAAAATGTTACATTTTTGTGATTTATATTGTTGTCAGGACAATAAATGTCTTATATCGGTATATGAGATTTTGGTCATATCGCACAGCCCTAAATACAACCATTCTAAATATAACAATAACTGAGGTAGATTCAAATAGAAAGATTTGTGCTTTAATGTGCTGCTAATTGAATCAGATTTCAAAACAACATGTACAAAGGACTGCTATTAATTAAAATATCTTAAAACTTTCAGAATTATAATTGACAAAATATTCAGACGTAGAAATCCTGTGTAAATACAATTCATAAAGTTTCAGTTAGTTTTCTTTTTCTGTACTTTAAATACCAGAAAGTAACGTTTTCTCTTTTTTGGTACTTGACTAAAATTACATTTACACAAGCATGACTATATGAGTTTGAATGTTTTTGTGAAATTGTAAAATTCTGTTTTTAAACATGTAACTGACTGCAGATTTTTAACAGGAGACCATAAACATTTGTTTTCGAATTTTACACATTCTGGGTACCCGTTATATAGCACCTTTTTAAATGTTTGAATAGATTTGGATGTTTGTGAGTGTTTTTAGTTTGATTGAGGCCTCATCAAGATGATTGGTGGTTCTCTGAGACAAAGCAAGACTGACGGCTGGTACAAACAATTTTGGTCTAATCAGTCTCTAGGCCTGTTTACTGTTTGCTTGCTAGCAACAAAGTAAAGACTATCATAGCTAAACAATCCAATCTGTTGACTTTCTCCATTTGCTGTACATTTTGATGCTTTTCCTACATAGACATCAGAGGTGTTCCATTTCGACATGACCATCCTTTGTTTTACTGTTCTTTCTGTCAGTCAGTTCAGCATGCTTCACTGTTGACATCTCACTGTTGTAATGGTTGGTGTGTTTCTGTGGAAAAAGTGACTAATTAGAAGGGATTCATGTATTAATGCATATGCTGTGTACTTGTGTGTTCCAGTGAGGAAGAGAAGATTGCTTCTTCAGAGAAGTACTCAGTAGTGGAGTATGTGGAGTCAGAGAGAGCAGGCATCAACAGCTCAGCCACAGCCTGCTGTCCTAAAACTGGGTCAGATATAGCACACACAGTCTCACAGTCACCACTTAAGTTTGTTTTTGTCTGTCTTATAAAAAGCCAGAGTCAGCACGTGCTCTGCAGTGTTCAGCGGTCATCCGTCACACATTTGTCCCTGAAATGTGCAGGACTTTGCAGTATTCGTTGCTACTATTAGATGTGCTTGCAGAATCTGATAGTCAGATTATGTTTCTTCGTAACTTCAAGTGCATTAATAGTAATGAATCATCACATTCGTCATTTCTGTTATATCGCCATCCAGATGCATCTAGCAGCTATGTCAGTGCCCCGTGTTTCTCTGTGCTGTGTGAATAATTGCAGGCCTTTCCATTTTGGTTAAATATGAGCCTGGAAAATAAAAGATGTGATTTAAAAATTAGTAAATTGCTTATGATTAAAAAATAGTTAGCCTAACAACAAAGTAAACAACTTCATTCCTTCCCTTTTCAATTGGATTAGACCTTTTCCAGAAAGCAGGTCATTTAAAGTCTAGGAATAGTTCCAGATTACCTTCAAAGTCTGCTTTACATCAGCTCAGTGAATGAGGTATTAAAACTGCATGGCAGACAGCTCCTTTGGGCTTTATGCCAACAGTTAGAGATAGTCGCGGTTTGGGGGAGAAATCCTGACTGAGTGATCTACTCGTGTGACTAAACCTCTTAAGTCGAGTTGAGCATCGCACCCAGGAAATAAGTTCAGTATAACTCCTGGCCAATCAGAGCTTGGTCAGTTGCTCTATTCACTGGAATTTATTTATTTTTAAGAAATTATAGGTGTAGGAATTGATAAATGACAAAACAAAACTATCTTGCTGCAAGATACAAATTATCTTGAGCTGATTTCCATTACAGCCTTTTCTAAACCATTTCTCATGTTCTGGTATTGTAAACTGAATATATTGTGTTTCTCTCCTTATTCGTGTCCTGGTAAGTAGTGAGAAATGTCGGCCCATTGTGGAGCTGCCCAATGGTCCTCTGGAAGAAATGTCCCCCACAGAGGAGGCCAAGTAAGTCTTGACTGCCTTTGTGATTCAAGTTTGAATTTCATTAGAATATAATCAGTCTCTTCATAGTCTTCATTTATGCAGTGATATTTCCTTCTGTCTTCAAAAGGTTCCATATCTATATCTCATTCCTCTTTTCTAGGCTCGACAGAAGTTCTGTGTCCTCTGAGCCAGCTGTAAACGGGCCAGCATGAGAGTCACTTAATGCCTGCCAATGGCCAGCCTGTTCTGCCATGCAGAGCCTTTCTCCTGGTCAGCCAGCAGAGGCTGCTGCTCACAGCTGTTCCAACCACATGCCCCATCAGGACCAGCAATACTCCCATCGTCTCATCACTGAAAGACAAATGGGCAGACAGGTGTACAGACACAAGATGGACTAAGAAGTAAAATGAGAGACACTCAAATGGATACGGAATAATTTTTTTTCTGCATTTGTTTATATACTATTGTACTTAGGAGGTGATGTGTGACTGATATCCTGACTCCCAAAATTAAATAGTAATGTTGCGATGGTTAAGGAAATGATTGTATGAATAAAATATTTTATAAAAGGAAAATGTATACAGAAGCATAAGTTGAATTACCACAGAGAGGAATAGTTGATTCATGATCCAACCAATCACCATGTTGTTGTTATTGGCTGCATAACAGGCTGACACTTCAAGTTAGAGCTATATTTAAAATTTCTCCCCCACCGTTGATCTGTCTCTGAGCAGAGCTGCTCTGACCAATTGAAACAGTTTTATTTTTGTTGCAGCTAATTGCAAATGATTTTTCTCTTGTGATCTTCTGCATTGAATAACATTTGATGAGCTGTTTTGGTATGTTTCTTTCTAATTTATTATGGAGTTGAGATTGTAGTAACAAAAAGGGGGGGGAAATGACCATAGAGATATACCTACACTGTCTCTTTCTTACTGGCTGCTTTCATGCTAACTAGGTTCTTACCTCACAGCTGGAAGGCTAAAGAGGAGATGTTTGTCACCACAACCTAAACTAGCTATAAATGCATTAAGAATATGTTCGTTTTTTGTTTTTATCGCAAGTGCTCTTCAGACAACTGGTTTTCAGTTTGCTGGGTCTCCCTTTAGATTGCATTATATTTTTAAAAAATGTCGTTCCAAGTTGAAAATTCATCTCCAGTGTGCAGAACTGTCAATTCAGCCTGCTACTATAGTAAAATTGAAAGGCATTTAATTGCCAAACTATACACAGAAGTAGAGGATAAATTTATTTAAAAAAAATAAATAAATACATTTTGCCAAAACACACAGCTGCCACATGGGGTAGGCCCAAACAGCTACACAATCTCACCACTACAGTCCGTAACTCTGTCAGCTGTAGCGGGCGAGCAGATGGAGCTACTGTGTGTAGTCCCACCATCTCGGCATTAGAAAGATATTGACTGGCAAGGCTTGGTTCTGGAGGTTTCCTCTATAGGTAAGAAAGTGTTGGCTTTCAAAATATGATTTTTTTTTTTCTTTTTCTCAAAGTCAATATCTGTATTGTTCAGCTCAAGCGCACATAGTCTATAAAAGGGTTTGAGTTTGTGATTTCCCATTGAGTGCAATACATCATTTCTAATGTGTACTAGGGACAGCACTTTGCATGCCTCATACATCATGTGGAAGCTGTGTGTTTTCTGCATTACCTTTTACAAGATTGTCTTGTGTCCACCCTCATGGGCTTACATGTGACAATCAGGTGAAATTGTTTCAGCCAATGACTGTGTGCCAACAGGTGACACTGTTTAGACCGTACAGTGGGTGTGGTGGAGGTACTGATGTACAAAGTTTGGGCAAAAAAAATTTAATGGTGACTTCAAATGATGTACTGTGTCAGCCAGTCTAATCAATGAAAGCAAACATTCCTGCTAGATTACTTTGTAATATGAATGGTGACATTTTACTTTTTACCTGCAAGTTTTTAAGATAAAATGATAAGGATTACTTTTACAGTTATCACATCAGACGCTCTGCAGTGTTTTAGCGTCTGGTATGTGTTCATGTGTAAGTTATTCCTGCAGAGCAGGAGGTCCAGCTTGAGTAAAGCACCCAAGTTTGAAACATTTTTATTTCTATTTTTATTGACTTCATTCTTGTTCATCAATGTTTTGTTGGGAATCGCTCTTCACTTTAAAACCACATTCATAAAGCATTATTTGGAAAATGGTTTGATTTATTTTGGTTTCCAGTTTTAGAGGTGGCAGCTGGATCCTGAGGTGTATGTTTTGTTTTTGGGAGGGTTCTTAACATTATAAGTGTCTAACTTTTTTTGTTTGTTTTTTTTTTTAAATTTACCAACCGTTGGTGCCCTGGGCAAAAACAAACACTGGCTTATCTTGATTGGCACTATTACTGCAGAATGTGCCCACACAGGTTTGACTTTTGTATTGAGCACTAAATGCACCGATCACCAATACTTGTAGGATTTTAAAGTGGACTTGCCATGCTAGTTTCCAGCTCTGTTCTTTCTCTTGGACACCTGGACAACCTAAACTGCTGTGTAACCACCTGACTTAGAATAAGGAGCTGCAGATAATATGATGGTAAAAAACAGACTTCAACTTGCCTTCTCTTCTTTGCTTTAACCCCTTACTTTGCTCTCACCAAATTAGTTGAAACGTGGTTCCTAAGAAAGATGGTTTTGTGACTTGGTTTTCTGTACCAGGATTGGAGATGAAATGAGAGGTTTACAGGTAATGGTTCACATTCACTGCTCTGTTCAGTTGTGCATATTTCTAGACTGTCAAAGGCACAAACCGTTAGATTAAAGGTGTCAGTGGAAACTCGAGTCGGTTTAATATACTGATGTATATTAAATGGTGGTAATCGCATCCATTTTCCTGTCCTCTTGGGCTTTGCTTTGAAACCCAGCACCACATTTTGCACAAAACTTCTAGTATCACCGACACCTAATTAGCAGCGTTACGGTAAATGTGAGAAATAATTGTGTGAAAGTTAACTGAGGTTTTAAGATATTTCTCCATTAGAATTTTTGGAGTTGGCGCATCAGGGGTTGCAGTGTTTAATCGCTCATGTCAGACCACATGACACACTTGTGCTTCCAGTGTAAATGATAAACACGCCTTTGACATTGTGCCTGTTTTAAAACCGAAAACTGAGTTTTCCTACGCGGCTTCAAACCATCCTCCTAACGGTTTTTTTTTTTTTTTTTGAATACGTTTTATTGATAAAGCACAAAATACAGATATACAAATACAAACTAGCAAACACAATGTCAGGGGGTTCATATAAAAAAACAAAATAGACAGTCTATCAAAGAATCACATGATATTGAACTGGGAACATAAGTTTATGGTTTTGACAGCTTTTTGATTTTGAGAATGTTGTATGGTTTTAACATATTGTTTGGTTTCATTTAAAAAGCACCGAAAGGATGGTTTTGCGTTAGAAAATTTCGACTTATGTATATGAAATTTAGCCAATAATATCAATAAATTAATCAAATAAAATTCGTTTGCCCTGTGCATGGGGTACTTAAAGAAACCAAACAATATTTTCTCGTAACAAAGAGAGAACTCCGAAAAGATAAAGGAAACAACAAAAACACAAAATTCTTGCCAGAAAAGATTTGTGTATAAGCATGACCCTCCTAACGGTTATTTCCCTCCGGAAGTTGTGGTGTGTGCGTCATATACACAAACGATGAGGATGAGAGGAACCTCCATGTTTGTTTCTCTGCTGCATTATTTGAACACTGCCCCCAAGCGACACACACATGGAAGAAACTACACTAAACCTGCTTACACACAAGAACTTATAATCAACAGATGAAATGTTAACATTGAAATAGCATAAGATTTAAAAGTCATCTATTACAAACTACTCAAAAATGCTCTATGCTGCCAAAGAATATAAAAAATTATTGTGGCCTTAATGTGCCTTCCTATCATTCCTATCATCACAGAATCTATGTCCGAATAAAAGCTGCTATAACGACACCCCCCAATCCATAAAGACGAATATCGATTGAACATTAAATTGTTATTATTAGTTTAATTGTTAGTTGTATAATTGCTCGATCTTCGCACTCTGTCAGGAGCGCGTTGCCTGACAGACTGCACTCTGGGTGAAATACTCCCATATACGTCAAAACAACAGCTTGGTTAGCTCTTGCTAGCTAACCTGACGCTAGTTAGTGGTGCGTCAGGTTCACCAACCAACTTTAATGGTTTTTCGCGTCTGTAGGCCATCTTTGCTGTATGCAGTGTCTATTTTGTTATGAGACATGCAGGATAGGTACAACGAAATAGGCTTTGTCCAGCAAATACTCGGTTTGAATTTGGTGCCGAGAAAAAATAGTACAAACCGAGGCAATGACACATCTCTCAGCGACTTCTCAGGTGGGCTAATGTTTGGTAGCTTTTCAGCTAGTCTTTATATATTTGCTGTCTACCTATGCTGAAGTATTTGACTTAAAAAGAAGCCATTTAAAATGTACTACGAACAGAACCTGTCACTATGGGTCATTAGCTAGAGGCTAGTTTATACGCAATGTTGTTGGAGTAGTTGGTGAAGCTAGCTAACTTCTAGTCTAAGCGATTGTTGGGTAGTCAGAAGTCTGCATATTTTGTAATTTGAGAGTCTCTAATGTTGAAGACCTGTGTAAATGATACTGTTAAATTCCACTGGTCATGGCTCTTAGGGTATGACCATTCAGTAGTGTCTTCAGTCTCTGTGTAGATTTGACCAATGAAATGTGCGCTGGTGTTCAGTGTCACAGCACAGCAATGATTTTGCGTTGGTGTGTTACTAGTTGTTAAACAATGAAGATCTAGAGTTCTCCTTAATATCTAGTCAAGTCACAAACTGGTCCTCATTAAGGATTTAACATCATTGTCATGCTCTTTCAGTGAACCACTGTCACCCTATGGAAATAAATCAAATAAATACATTCGTGGTTATGTAATATGTTCACTGATTGGCATGAAGAGATGCATAACTGTATAATTGTGTTTTCCCAGAGATGTGGTATGGCGTGTTTCTGTGGGCAGCGGTCTCCTCACTTGTGTTCCACCTGCCTGCAGCTTTACTGTCCCTAGCCTCACTGCGCCAGCACAAATTTGCCCGGTTCATGCCCATTGCGATCCTCCTCATGGGCATTGTGGGACCAGTGTTTGGGGGAGTCCTAACTAGTAAGCCTTCTACCTGCATGTGCTGTGTTGTTGTTGTTGTTGTTGTTGTTTGTTTTTTTTAATGTATGTATTTTTGAATTTTTTAAAATGAATGATATAGCTATTTGTGATTACATTTATTTCAGCCTTTATTAAAAAGATTTGTATACCTGCATATTATAAAATAGAAGGTATTTTCAGATGCTTCCTCGTTTCCTAAGTATCACCACAGCAGATTAGTCCACACAGGAGGACATGAACTTGTGTCCGTCTGAGCCTGATCCCTCAAACGAGGGATGTATTGCATGCTAGGCAGATGCCTTTGTGTTTTCCTCAATGTAAAAGAACTGAATGAATTGGACCATCACTGAGCAGTGCTGCTGGAAACCTGTTCAGTATGCAGCCAGTTCATTTAAGCTTCCACAGTGTGTGGGTCTACTAGTCTCAATCTCAAGTGTTTACAAATAGGACTCAATGTGTAAATTAGTATCGCTGTAGCTGAATTGGGTTGTGAGCACACCACAATGGTTCTTAATGAAATACTGAATCTTAAGTTGGATCAAAACATCCGGAAATTTTGCAGTTTTTAAGATTCATAATAAATAGATGACGAGTTCTGTATTTTCTCCTGAACTTTTATTTAATTTTTCCCAAGTCAGTCACTTAAGCTCAAGTTAGTTTCCAGAGTGCATTTGCTTGTTTCACTGTAGTTTTTGTTCATGTTTAGTTGTTGTTAAGTCTTCAATATTTTCAGTGCTACTTGTAGTGTCTTATTTTAATGACTTCAGAGGTGTCTGATAGCCATATGTTATTCTGAAGTTCAAAATGGATATTACAGTACAACTGCAATGTTTATTCATTTAATTTTGAAGGCAGGTGATTCACGACAAAATCCCGAGTCTCAATAAGCAAACGCACAAAATCCTGATTGGACAAGTTGTGATAACAAATTTAAACATAAAGTAAATGCATATTCTTAAAAAGTGTATTATTATTATTACAGTATTATTTCAGACATTGTTTCTTTTCAAATTTCTATTTTTAATTGGGTTAACAATGTCTGTTACACACCCACTTAGTTTTTAGTTTATTTAAAATTTGAATCATATTTGCACAAATGGGGACGGCTTGAAAAGATTAAGAGAACTAGGGATATTCTTTTTATTATTATTATTATTATTATTATTAATTGAGTAAAAATCTAATTAGATTGTCTTTAAGAAGTGACACAGTCTACATTCAGTTGCAAATTTGATATTAATCCACCTGTTTCCCCTGGTGATGGTAGGCTAAATCATCTCCACTTTCTCTCACATCTGACAGTAACATAACGTGTTGTCGTCCGTACCTTCCCCTCTCTGGTCTGCTCACCTGACAGCAGAAATGGAACAAACTAGGACTATTTTATGACATCAAAGAATCTTACACTGAGACACACACAGACTGCCCTTACGAGACAACGTTTATGGTTACAAACATCCCCTAATCAGGGCATGAGCTGTACCAGGCAACCCTGAATACCCAACAACCCACAACTCTTTCTATTTAAAGCTCAGAAAACCCCAAAAGAAAACATGATTGTAAGTACAATACCTGCTTGAAATTTTAGATAATGAATAATAACGATATGTAGTGAATACATTGACCAAACTAATGGTTATTATGATTTTTGCAGTAGTCAAGCCTTGCATTCAGACCCCAAAGTGTGAGGTTCTGATTAGTTGTTGCTTATATCAGGAGGTCAGCAGGCCAAAAGGTGGTTTGTCGGCAGAGCTCTGCTTATCAGTAAGTCAGAAGCCAAACTGGAAAACACACACGCTTAATAATTTTCTTTCTTTCTTTTCTTTTTTAGGTGCAGCCATAGCAGGTGTGTACAAGGCAGCAGGGAAGACGATGATATCTTTGGAGGCGCTGGTGTTTGGTGTCGGG